GCACATCCACGATAGCAAGAGGAGTTCATACCTTCAGGTGCTGCTTCTGTGAGTGATCCACAACCACCTCTGCTCAGGATGTAGACACTTTTCTTCTGGATGCCCACACCATCCCCAGCTCTCCAGGCACTTAACATTAGGCTATGGAGCTGCAACGTAACGCTTGGAGATATAGGCTGGTACAAAGTGCAGCACCTTGATTCTTGATAAGAACAGAGAAAACCAGGGATTGGGGATCCTGTGGTCTGGAGGTGAAGTTGGTTGTGTCTGCAGCTGAGGACCAGCCCGCCTGAGCTATTGCTGCGTGCTGCCATGCTCTGCTGTGCTGTCCCGTATGCAGGCGTCAGAGACGCTCTTGTCGGAGCCCCTTACAAAAGTAGCCAGGGCAGTGCTGGCAGGATGCGCCCTGCAGCCGTGCCAAGGCTCTGGAGCTGCTCCCTGCACCCACTGGCTGTGAAGTTAGCCCAAATCTGGGGATGTTCCAGGCATGCCACAAAAACCACCTGTTCAAGGTCTGTGGAGGGAGGCGAGTGTTGGCTTCCCAAGGCTGGCAGCTGGTGCAAAAGAGCGTTTTTCTAGGAGACAGACTTGCTGAATTCCTTCTGGAATAATTATTAAGTGCTGGTAGGATTTTGTTTTAATATTAATTACATGTCAAGGCCACCTGAAGCTTTGCATTCTTAAAATAATCAAACCACCTAATTCTGAAAGACTCAAAGCATGGGTAATTGGAGAAGGGAAATTTTGCAAAGCTGTAAAGAGCTGCTTTGCTCAGACTTTTGGAAAACTCTGAGAAAAATTTCTCAGCTCTGTCCATCACCCTCTGCGCTGGAAAATGGGCATGAAATAGTATCGGAGCAGCTATCTAAGCAAAGAAGTGGGATGATGGATGCAGTGCCCTTTTCAAACGATGGTTTGCAAGGCATTTGAGGATTGTTCTTCAGAGACCATTAAAAAGGAGCTTTAGAGGAGGAGAGACTAGTTGTGTGGCAGGCAGGATCAAGAAGGATGTGTGTTTGCCGTGCGGTGTCATAGATCAGAACGATACCAACCTTTGGAAACTAATTGCAGCAACTAACAGTTACGAGCTGCACTTACCCGTCTCTCTCTTGTATGTCTTAGGCAGCCACTACTTTGATATTTAATTGCCTTTAGAATAGACTATGCAGATTATCGGGGGGAATAAAAAGGGATAAAAGCTTTTGCGTGCTCGAACCAGAGATTTTGAGAGAAGGCATGAGATATGGAAATGAGTGGGTAAATGTTTGCGGGCTGTATGGGATGCGGTTGTTATTGGTGGGAACTTTAGTGGGAACAGAAGGAAAATGTGCGCTTGGATACCGTGGCCAAGGCTTTGCCGTGGTCTCCGTACTCGGAGGAGATGTATGAGCCCTGTGTGGCTCCTCCAGCTGTATCACAGCAGCGGCACTTCAGAGGAGGGGCAGATGCGCAAAGCTTATCTGGTTACATCTCCATAGAGCTCTGGCTCGATATTGATATGAGCTCTGAAGCTATCCTGCCACCGTGCATAAATGTTTCAAGGGGTAAGATCCGCTCTGAACGCAGAGCTGTGCCTGAGCCATCCCAGGAAAGCAGCCCCTCCTGCCTGGCAGTGCTGCTTTTCCAGATTTTGCATTCCCTTTCTTCTGTCGCCGCTGGTTGTACCACCGATAATCAGCTGGAACGTACAGAAAGAGTTGTTTGCCTGAAAAACAACTGTGATTTTGCTTAATTCCCTTTCAGCGATATAACTAATTTTCCATACTTAACGGGGCTTGCAAGCCAAATCTGGAGTGCGATGCAGGTGGCCTGGTCTGACCACCACAAACAGCAGCACGCCTGGCTAACTTGGGTGGGTTTGGGTGGAAGATGTTCTTCTGTCCTTGCGTCAGAAGGGAGATTCTCAGTTGTAATTGTGATATTTTGCTGATGTGATTGAAAGCTGTTGGTTTCCCTAGGATGTCTCTACACATCCCTGCAACTTCTGTCAAAACAGGAGCTCGCAGCTCCCGCCGCAGCATTCTGCAGTGAATGAGAAGGGATTTCTCTGCATCTCTTATCGCCAGTGTTCATCAGGGACTCTCCCTCTAGCAGCAAAGCCTGGCTAAACCAGAGCACAGTGCTTTTCTGCAGTCCAGCATGTATTACACTTGGACTGTAAACCATCCTACTCTAAAATTACAGCTTTTGTCAGCTGGTGATATTAAACTTGTCTCTAATTTCTTTTAGAGTGGAACAGGCTAAATCATAGATGCTAATGGCTGATATTTTTATTCTATTTTTTTTTCCTGGTGCTCCAGGCCACTGACTCGGATTATGAAGACGAGTTGCCAAAACACTCCTTCGTGAACCACTACATGAGCGACCCCACGTACTACAACTCGTGGAAGCGGCAGCAGAAAGGGGTGAAGCACCCGGCGTCCTACAGATACGAGGAGTGCGCCGCCAGCGAGACAGAACCCTATTTCCAGACTGTCATCACGACACAGAGCTCAGGAGGGGTGTACACCCCAACGGGACAGCCCGCGCCCGGCTCCCGGACTCCAGTGACAGGGTTCTCCTCCTTTGTCTGAGACGGGGCCGGAGGACGGAGCCGAACCGCCGGTGGCACCAGGAGGGAGCCGCCGCAGTGACTGTGTGTGCGTGAGCGGTGCGGTGACCTGAGGGTAACTTCTTCGCTATCAGGGTAGAAACGGACGGGAACACGAATGAGGATGGGTTGTTGGGTTTTTGTTTTTTCTTTTCTGAAGACAATCAACTCTAAAAATATGGAGCTGAACTAGCTGAACCTTTGTTTAAAAAAAAAAAGGAATTCTGAAAAGTGATGATTTTAACCACTTGTGAATAGTAGGGGTTTTTTAACCGCTTTTTGTAACACTGCTTCAGGAAGCAGCTCCCATGCCCTTCTCTTCCCTCTTTCTTTCTCTCCCCTCCTCCTGTCCCCTCATTCCCAAACAAGGAGGTGAATTCCCTAGATGCAATGAGTGACTTTGTGATGTGATTTGAAGAGAAAACATAAAACCTCCCAGGCTCCTTTTTCTTCCTTTTTCTCTATTCTCTTTTTTTTATTATTTTTTTCCCTGTCATCAAGGTCAAATAGGAAAACACAGAAAAGGGATAAATCATTACATGAAAAGCAGACACCTCCTCTCTCCTCTTCTCACTGCTGCTCCCCACTTTAAGAGCACTGGCTGGTCAACGTAGGCTCAGCTGTGTCACTGCCTGCTCTAGGCTCACTACCGGTGTATTTACACTGAATTTCTGACCTGTTTTCCTTTCTTGTTCAAATGGGACCTGCTGCATTCTTTAAATATTCCAACTTCAGGGCCTTTGGAAGAGGAAAGGGCTCAAAATGGCACCGTAGGCAGTGGTGGGTGAAGCAAGTGGGAAGAATTCAGATGCAAGGTCAGTTAATTTTTGGTGTGGCTCTAATCCTCCCTCGTGGACCGCGTGTGCTACTTGAATTGGTCAGAAGACACAACCCAGCAAGCCAGAGGAATCTTTCAATTAAGATTGCAGTGACAAGCTAGAGAGTCTACTAACTGATGAAGTTTTTGGTCATCAAAGTTACCCTGCCCTGTCAATAGGAGTTGAGCATCTTTTATCTCCCAGACTCTGCACTGCAGCTTACTGGTCTGTAAAAAAAGTACACGGTAGCTGGGTTTGTTTGATTTTATTTTTTCAGTACAAAGACACGTGTCACAGACTGGGTGAGTTTTGGTGTCCACAGGTGCCTTTTATTGATTCTTCAGCTTCATGTCTGGGAGAAGCAACAAAGTGTCTCCAAATAAAGCTAACCAGGGTTTTCAAGCATTAGGATCACGAATTACCTTGCGCACATTTACAGGCTGCTCTGTGCACTTGAAGCTACAACCTTGGGAAAGAAAAGGGGGGATTTTTAGTTTGTTTTCCATCCTTTTATATAGCTCCCTTTTTCTTTTCTTCGTTTCTACCCTTTTCCCAAGTTTGTCATGTTTAGCAGCAAGTTGTTTGCTCACAAGGGAGTTAGCAGAGGTTCAAAGAGTCCAAGTCCAGCCCTTGGATCTGGCAACAGTCCTGGATCACCAGAGGTTTTACCGCAAGAGTTTGAAAGGTGAATTTGGAAGTGGGCAAGTCCTTGCCTCTCCAGTGCCTGGCGTTTCCTCCCAGGTGGGTGTAGGTCAGCCAGGCAATTTGTCCTCCTGCTGCTTGCTAAGGTCCCATCAGGGCACGTGTGGGCACTGTTGTTACTGCAGATTGTCCCTGTCCCCTCTGGAGGGATGCGGGACAGCTGTGGCACTGGGTGGTGGTGTCTTCAGGGCAGGTTGCTGAAACCAACCTGACGTTGGTTATGGTGGTTGCCTATTTCTGCCCATGGAGGCTGGTTAGAAGTAGCCTGGTGGCACAGACGAGCTCAGCCCTGCTCCCAGCTTTTTTCTTGGACAGGGCAAATGCTCTAGAACTGCTTTTACCCTTTGGCAGTGTCTCTGAGCACTGCTGCTCTTGGTGCATATACAGGTTCTGGATGGCTTTGGCACTGGATTGCTGCTCCTCTCCAAAGGCTCCAGAAAGGAAAAGTTCAAAACCAAAAACTCCAGTGGGTATGTTTAAGGACTCTTGAGTTTGGGTCTTTGATCCGCAGCTCATTAGATGGCAAGGGATGTGCCAAGACACGGGCTTGAGCCAAAACCCTGTGAGCCATCCCCCTCTTGCACCTGGAGAGGATGTGTGTGGGATGGAGAAGGGGCTCCAGAGAGGATGACGTGGAGCTCAATGTGAAGAGAGATGCAAAGCAGACAAAAGACCCACTGCCTTCTGTGCACTTTGACTGTTCTCTTAAGCCATATGGACTTTGCTTTAATTACTGAACTGGTAAAACTTTGTTTGCAGTCTGAGTTTTTTGTTTCTTAGACAAAATTATCTATGTGACTTTCGGATATTTTTTCTTTCTCCTTGGTTACTTCCTGCATCAGATCACGTATTTTAAACACTTTGTTTTATATACATGTGGCATAGCAATGCAATTGCTGTTGGAATCTTAATGGCTTATCCAACAGGCATGAGAGGTAGTGCTACAGGAGGAGCCTTTCAAGGACCACTAAGGACTTCAAGGTGTGCTTTAGTAGAAAGTTGATTAAACACTGAAGAGCTTGCTCCAAAGGAAAGTATAGTGCGAGTAGCTCCGTATCTCCTGAATCTTGCCAGATCTGCATTGGTGTCAGGCACAGTTACTCCCCAGGGCTGATCTGATACCGTATTGAGCAAAAAAGCAAGGAAATAAAGGAAGAAAAGAAATGGACTCTGAAGGACAGCTTGGGGAGCAGCACGATCTGTACAAAGCGAGGGGAAGAGACTATTCCTTTTTTTGCAGAGCCATCTGCAGCTAAAAAGCCTGAGCTTGCTGAGGGCCTGCTGAGTTGTCTGTATGGTCCTTTTCTTCTGGCTGCTGCCAAAATAACAGGTTAGGTGTGATTCCTGTAGGACCTGTTGCTCCGAACAAAGGCATTTCTGCTCCAGTCCAATCCATGCTATTGTCACTCTCAGTTTGGTTTTGTTTAGGAGTCAGCTTTTCTGAGATCTGGATTTATTGTACTTAGGGAATTGGAGAGCATTGAAGTGCCCTGCACTGCTGGCCCCTAAGATTGAGCATAGGATGTGTGTGCTGCTGCCCAGGGTCTTGTTTATCCATGCATGATGCCTGTGCTTTCTTGCTAACATGCCATACTTGTATAGTGTGATTAATGGACAGGTTTTATTTACCTCAGATACCAGGTAAATTGTTCTATCTGGAAGGAAACACTCCATCAGTTAGCAGGAAAGCTCTATTTCATTGCTGTAATCTTTGGGAATCGCAGCCTTGAAATATGACTTTTAAACATTACTTGTCATGTTACAGTAACTTCACCCATCAAATCCACTTCTGTTTCCATCTTCCTGTTTAGAACAGTCTTGAAAAATGAAGGCTTTTATTTAAAACACATTCTTATGATATTTTATTTGTATTTATTTATTTACTTTCCCATGTTTCTCAGGCCTCTTGGTGGCTGTTACTTAGAAATAAAAACAGTGTTGTGAAATGACCAAGGGAGACATTTCAGGGAATGGTTTAATAGGAGCTCATTTCTCATGCAATAGCCATGGAAATATCCAATTTCCTGCAGGGAAAAAAACTGCCCAAGACCTCACCCCCCTCCAAGGACTGAGATAAGGCCAGCCACCACCATCAGCGGTGCTCCCACATTGCCAACAGCACCGAACCTCATGTTGTCCCTATCATAAATCACATGCAAGAGTGCACCTCAGTGAAGGAGCTGTGCTGTCCCAGCCCACTCCTCACGGACCATTTTATCCCCCAAAGTCCGTGGTGCGTCCTCCACCGTAGCCCACACCCTTGGGTGGAGGATTTTCATTCCCATGTTGGTGCTGTCAACCGGTGCTGTTCGGGTGTGAAGGGACAGGAGGGGGCACTGTTTTTCCTTCATCCCTGACAAGTCTCTTTCTTACCCATCCTGGGAGTCACTCGTGTGAAGCCCCTTCGTGGGGAGAAGGGAGAGCACAGAGCAAAGGGTTTCATCAGCTTTTACTAAAGGAACCACAGCGATCCCACTTTTGGAAGCAGTTGGCATCACTGGAGGAAAAAAACCCCAAACCATACAGAAAAATGAACTAATCCATTACCACAAAGGGTTATTTTTTTCCTCTTCATTTTGAGTGTTAAAGCCAGTGACGCTTTGCAGATGGGCCGTGATCTCATTTTTTCTGCTTACACACCACAAGCTGCTGTAGCAATTGTTTAGAATAAATATCCAACTCTGTCTTGACACAGGGATACATTTATTATCCCTGTCATTGCTTCCCTCGAGAAATCCATTGGGTCATCCAAAGATCTTCCAATCTGCTCTCCAAAAGGGAGGAGAGATGGTTGTTTATACATGCAGAGCACTGGTGTCTTCTCCCACTTGCTGTTTTCAGATAAGCAGGGCAACTTGTTTCAGGAAAATCCTTTTAGAAAGAAAATTTTTTGAGAAACATTAAAAAATCTCAAGCAAAACCACACAAAAAAAAAACTCGTAAGAAAGATAACCGTTGGCAGGGCCATTAGAAATCTTGATGTCCAGGAAGCCTGTGATATGTGAGACTGAATATGATCCCAAGACCTCCTATTTTTAGTGATCTCCTTTATCAGTAGCAGCCAGAGGGGTGTGTGCAATGAGAGGTTGTATTTGGAGAGGAAAAGCCACCACAGAAGTGTTGCTTGATGGGCAGGTTGTACTGCAAACACTTTCATTTAAGCTGGAGTTCCCACTAGTTCAATCATGTTTCTTAAGTTGTTTTATAGGTTTTCGCCAGCATGTGTGGAGTCCATAAATCATGATGGTGTTACTAGAGGCCACACAGGGAGAGGTGTATTGCTGTGGTGTTCACACAAAGCCACATGCATGGCGATGTGGTTGTACAGTGTCCATTGAAACCTCCTTAGGGAAAGCCACCCTTGAATTAGGAGCACATTCACCCCAAGACTGAACACGTTGGGCTGGGCATGGGCCTTAAATGGCTCCACCTGACAAATCCCTTCAGTTCTTTGTATTTCTGT